GGGCGAGAAGTGTCATAGAGATTATGACATGATAGATGCAGGAAGGATGTTCCCAATGGTGGGTGTGTCCAGAACCAGGGGTCTCAGTCTGACGATTGAGGATAGACCATTGAGGACAGAGATGAGGAGACATTCCATTACCCAAAGAGTGGTGAGCCTGTGGAATTCATTACCATAGGAAGTAGTTGATACCAAAACGTTGAATCTATTCAAGAGTCGGCTAGATACAGCACTTGGGGTGAATGGGATCAAAGGGTATGGGGAGAAAGCAGGATTAGGCTATTGAGTTGGACGATCAGCCATGATTGTGGTGAATGGCAGAGCAGGTTTGAAGGCCCAAAAGGGCCGCCTCCTGCTCCTGTCTTGTGTTTCTACGTTTTGCGTATTCCCAATTTGCCCTGCTCAATCATTCAGTTGTTTTAAATTTCCCTCTTAATCTCAGGCTGAAACACCCACTCATATCTCCTTTAAAGTACTGATCAATAAACACAAGGTCTAAAACTTAAGGAAATGCTAGGATGCAAACTTATGTGGTCAGTCAAATATAGTTTGATAATTGTTCTGTGAAGCATTGTGGGGATTTTTGCCACATTACAGGTAACATTATAAATGTGAACAGTCAAATGGAAATGTTTAACTTTCTACTCCTGCTATGTAGTAGGTTGTAATTGACTTACTAATACTTTCTTACAAGCAGTTGAGTGCTCTGTTCCATTACATAATCAGCAAAGCCCAACCTTTTTATTATTGTGCGCTAATAGCTAGCTTTCACGCATTTTCAAATCTCCACAATCTTTCCCACAAATATACAATAATCTTTAGTAGAATGATGTACCTATTATAAAATAATTTGATATAATGCATTGCTTTATGTAATGGGCTGAAATGCACTGACATTTTAGAAGACTGGGGCAACATTTTAATGAGGCAAGACAGCAACTGCTAAAATAGCCACTATTTGCATCAGAACGCCTTAAAAATTCTAACGGCAGTGAAGTGAGTTGGCCTATTCCTAAAACCCATCAGTCACCTTAAATGACGACTGTGAATGGACCTTCTCCTGACCCATTTACAAAACATGTAGACAATGATCTATGCAATCCACAGGGATAGAAAATGAATTCTACATATTTAAATTGAAGGTTGAGAATCGATTTGCAGTTACTATGATTGGATAAATGGTCAGATGGCAAGAGTGGAATTATATGATGAACCAACTAACTCCTCACATATTTAAGATACTGCTTTTCAGCAGGCCAAGGAGCAGAAGGAGGAGACACAGCAAAGCAGAACTCCTGAGTGAGCATATTCTGCCCAATTTTCCATCCAGTCTGCAAATTAAAGCCCTGCCTATTGTTTAACCATTCGCATGCTGCAGGCATTTCTAGAAAAGATAACCCAGAAGCCACTGTTTCCAGAAGAATAGACAAGTTGTCCATCAATACTTTTTTTTTTAAAAAAAATGTCAGCACTGAATCCAGAGACTTCTAAGTCCAGTCTGAAATCATACAAGTCATCGATCCACAAGATCCATTTGCCATTAATTTTTATTAGATGACTTTAAGACATTATTACCTGTCCTACCACTAACTTGTTTGAAGTCTTGAATATATGCGATATGGTCAGAGGATTGTTTTTGCTTTTGTGCAGGTGCTAATACAATAAATACCCTTACAAGGAGACTAGTCTGTCTTTTACAGTCACGACCCTTAACTGTTAAACTTTGAATAGGCAATCAAATGTTATAAATAGCCAGCTATTATCAAATGAGGATTGGAAAAAGAGGGGTGGCACTTGAACCTCCCTCCCTCCCTCTCTTCCTTTTGCTTGCTCGCTGCTCTAATTTTAACATTTCTGTATAATATGCACAGAGTTGTATTTTAAAAAGGAAAGCCAGTGGCATAGTAGGATTCTCAAAGATTTTTGATTTTATTTTAAAATTCTCACTGATAATGAAATCTGAAAATTTCCACAGAAATGCCTTCATGCCCTTGATCGTTTCGTGGGTCACTGTGAATAAGGAACCGATATCACTTTTCCATTATTATGGTGTTGCTTTGAAAACTGGCTAAGTTAGTGATTGAAACAAAGGACAAATATTCTGCATGCTGGAAATCTGATCTAACAGAAAATGCTGGGTCTGAAAGATGAGAGACAGTTCACACTTCAGGTTAAGACATCTGTTATTTTCCGGAACTGATGAAAGATGGTGACCCAGGTGGCTTTGGGATAAACGTGTTGAATGGTGAGAGTTCAGCAGGGGAACTTCATAATTTTTAAGCTCCACTTCCTGATCTTGGATGTAATAATAATCCTTGGAGATCTGGAACTTTCTTCTTTCCCTTAAAGGTTGAAAGAATTTGGAATTCTGTCTCAACGTGGAGGTGGAGTCATTGAATGCTTTTAAGGCAAGATAGGTAGACTCGTTAAGTAAGAGAATTAAGGATTATCAGAGTCGATGAGAAAGTAGAATTACAAACAGAAACCGATTGGCCATTATTTTATTAAATTGCAGAATAGGCTCAATAGTTAAAGGGCCTACTTTTCTTTAATTCTTATGCTTGTATGCCCTTGAAATGAAACTTAAAGTGCTGGAAGCACTGTACTTGGGTCTTGTAGCATGTACAGAGACCTTTTCAGGTTGATATTTTCTGGACCTGGAAAAATGTAGTAATGTAGCACTTTTTAAGCAAACAGAGGCAAAACAAGGGCATGTGTTGGGGGGGTGTGATGAAGAAGGAAAAGGAAGGTCTGATAGGGTATGAGGCAGGAATGTGCAGTTAACAAACCAGCATGTTTGTGTGTATGGTGGGAAAAATCCAGTTTATTTTTTTACTTTCTATGACTATGATTCTTGAGCTTGTGGCAGGAACTTTAAGTTGTAACCTGGCAGTGGTCCTCTGTGATGCAGTTTTTGGATGAGATCTGCTAACGTGACACAAACTAAGGATTGGTACGGAGCCTTTGTGGTCTTGGTTCAGCAATTCACTGGATAAACCATGGCTGCAGAGCTTAGGCAATATGTATGCTCGGATGAGAAAGGATTAGCCACCTCAACCAGACTACTGGAAAATCAAAACATGACTCGCCAGATTTGTGGTATATCCACCAGCTGCCCAGCCTCCCTGGAGAGGCAAGAAAGAAATGAGCTCATTTAGGCAAAAAAGGCAAGCAAATGTCTAACAACTTAGCAGTGTGCAGTAGCGCACAGCCCACCACCAAATAAAACCTCTTTTTAAGGCAAAGATAGATTTTTGTACAGTAAAAGAATTAATGGTTATGATAAGCAGGTGGATAAGTGGAGCTGAGTCCACGAAAAGGTCAGCCATGATTTTATTGAATGACAGGCCTGTCCAGCCTGCTCTACTCCTGCCCCTTTTTTTGTATGTTCTTACGTTGAAAATCTGAAACTAACACGTGAAAATGCTAGAGAAACTCAGTAGGCCTTCACAGCATCTGTGCAGAGAGAAGTATAGTTAATG